CCCCCCCCTCCCTCTAGTGTACCGTACGTCTCTGCTCCAGGATGCGCAAAAACGAAAGCGTTTCTGGGAGCAGGATGATAAACATTGCCAAGTTCCTATTTGCTTTGCATGTGGTCATATCACATGGATCATGTTTTTGCTACACTGCATGATCACAGGGAGCACCGCCCCTCTGTGCAAGAGGCGTGTGTGTGTGTGTGTGTTTGCCATGAACCGTCATATAGAGGGGTTGGGCCACACTGATCCTTTCTCTTGCATAATACGCTGGGCTGAGATTAGTAAACCAGTGGCTGCAGGCCGATGCCACCTTATTGTTTATTCCCTCTCTCTCTCTCTCTCTCTCTCTCTCTCTCTTTCTCTCTCTTCCTCTCTCTCTCAAACACACCACTCTACCTTACCCCCACATTATTGATCCATTGGGGACTGGTGGCGCCTGCAGAGAGTGGGAGCCAGTATGAAAAAAGTAGTTTGCCCTCTTGTGTCTGATTTGCCTCAGCAGTGCACTGGATGTTGCTGTGGTTCATCTGTGGTTATTGTAATGCAAATCTCTATATCCCCACAAAGGGGAATATTTTATTTTTTTGTCAAAGAGAATAACAGTGACATAAGGGGCTCCACAGTAGTCCTGTCTCTGCTGTGGAGGTTCAGGTATCACTGCAGTAGAATGAGGCTGTAGGAAAAACTGAAAATGAAGTTTTCGTCTTGAGTTAACTGCTGAGCCACACATCACTTTGGAAGAATTTAAAATCCTCACTTCGTCACTAAAACTTTGGAGTTGGAGTTGGACTAAATCATTTCTGCCATAACTTTGTCAGTTTGCCAGTAAACTGCAGGACAGTACAGGGGAAATGTTTCCCCGGTGGACCATAATTATTTAAAGCACAGCTGCTTTTACAGCATCAGACCATCACTATACTGATGGTGATTTACGAAAAATACCAAAAACGTCTTGTAGGACAGTCCCCTGTCTTTGTTTCATGGGAGACATTAGACTGTCCTTTGGAGACTGCTGAAGGTCTGTGTTGTTAGAAGGACATTGACTTATTCTCTTGGTTTTGTTTGGTTAGTGTTTCTACATGTGGATGCCAAGATGTGCTGATATGCCAATAGCGAGCACTTTTTCTTTTGAACCAGTGTTTGTGCGTGTATATATATATATAACTTTGACATAAGTAATATGTATGTATATATTTTATTAAAAACCCCAGTATTATGGGGTGTTATGGGGTTTTATCATACCATTGACTAATTGAAAAATGTCTTTGTGTAACTTCAAGATGTGTGTTTGAGAACCTCTGCTCCCGATCTTAGAATACTCCCTTCGTTGTAGCTGCCAACTTGTGAGTCACCTATAACACCAGTAACAGGATTTCTACCTCAGCTCAGATTAACTGCAGTCGTCCTAAGAATAGACGGAACTAAAAGGATTTGTCGTCTGAAGTATAAAGTGCAAACTAGAAAGCATAATGACAGGTCGACACACATCTGAGCGCTTGTGTTTCAGTTCAGTGTTTAGAAAAGCCCAGCAGAGATTTCAGGTTTGATTGTCACCGCAGCCCTCAATGTGTCGATCAACAGCCAGACGTCTGATTGAAGTGTCTTTTGAAAAAGCCTCCAGATCCATCTCTGCTGCACCTCCACACTCTGTCTGGAGAGAAACACGCTGTAATGTTTCTCTGCGAGGAAGACAGGTGTCTCTGCTGTACTGAGTGCTTCTTATGTAATGTGCTGTGGCCTTCTGCTGCTAAAACAAACAAATCCAGCAGCCCACCACCGGCTGACTGCTGCCATAAAGCTGCAGTCACACAGATGTACACGGAGGGTGGACGCTGGGAACTCTGATCATCATCATCATCATCATCATCATCATTATACTTAAAGAAAAAATGCAGTCTTATGATACGAAGGCCCCTGTAACCAGTAACTCCTCAGTGGTTTCTCACGTATGTGTCCTGTATGTTTTATTTTCAGACTTGAGTGTAATCACGACTTCATGTGGGAGGCTGTGAGAAAAAAACAAAACAGGATTAAATAGAGATGGAGATGAGAGAAAAGAAACTGAAAATATGGCTGATATATCAAATTATAGAATCATTAGACCAAAATATGACCATTTATTTCTCTAGCCCCCAGTTCTTTGAGCTTATTTTTAATCTCAGCTCTTTGTTTACTAGGTATACAACAATGATATATCAGTGATATCAACATTACTCTCAAGTACTTCAAGTACTTGAAACGTGGGCAGATCCGGCGACACATCGTCCTCATGCATCTGTAGAGATAAAGAGTTGTTTTTTTAATAGATCAACAATGTCAACTGTTTGGAGATATTTTCTCTGTTAGATTCTTTCTGATAAAATACAAGACATTTAATAAAATACATTGACGTGGAAATAGTTTTTAAAGGCATACTCTGGTTACTGGAAAGCAAGAGGCAGTGGTGTAAAAGCTCTGCTCATTTTCTGTTTCGGTTTATTTTCAGATGATACAGCAGATTCTTCTTCTCTTTAATACACAAAGATGTGAATCTGTAAATGAAAAAAACTACTATAAGGCCTGACTCCTGCTGTGAAATTCAAATGGTTTTTCTTCCTCCTCCTTCCAGACTGTCCGTCATGGCTTCCCCTACCAGCCGTCGGCCATGGCTTTTGACCCAGTCCAGAAGATTCTGGCCATCGGCAGCCAGAGTGGAGCTCTCAGATTGTATCCTTTCACTTTCCATTAAGTTGTTATATGTTGTTTTGGCCTTTGGCGACTCCTCTGGGTGACTGCATCCCTTGGAGGCGGCAGCCGGTAAGTGAATGGATGTCTGCGTCGAGTCGACTGTTCAGTGTATTTTTAGTGTGGTGGAGAGTTTTCTGCAGCGTTCTGTCACCGCTCTGGATATGTGCATGTGGCGTACGTGGTAAAGAAATCTACAGAATCATAAAAATGCAAATGCAGCCTCAGTTAAGCAGAGCAGTTGAGGCAGTTCCTTTCAGCCTTTATTTATTTATTTAATTTTTTTGCAATATGAGGACATTTACACAAACAGGGACACAACAGCTTGCGATGAAAAGGGCACCACGGGGAGTCGCAGAGCTTCTGAGAACGCCCGCGACTTTCTGTCTTAGGCTGCTTTTACAGGTCCTCCATGTGTTCTCCTGCCTGTCCCACAACCTTTGCCAGCTCATTACAGTGTGATGAAGAGCCGTCCACCTGGTTGTTCTTAGCTCCCACCTGTTCACAGTTGTGGCTGTGACTCATACTTGTTCACCTGCACTGAGAAGGTTAGAGTACATCCGTAGACGCTGGTCGAGATGAGAGTTTGAGTCTTTAAAGCTGCGTTTGGCAACATTCTCAAAAGATGACGGCAGTCTTAGAGTTTGACGTCCAAGAAATTTCACTCAAAATGAACAAAACTAGCTGACATATTGATGTCTCGAGGAAACTGCAGTCCAGGTTTGTCTCCTAATGACGACGTCCGATGCATCAGGAAGAGGCAAACAAGACAACGGTCAGTGACAGAGCTAATGTCGCTATGTAGCATGCACAGGCAACATTTACAGATCCAAGGGCAATGATTGCTATCCTGGGTTGCTAGAAGTCTCTTGGCAAACTGAGAAAGACTTGAAGGATAACAAAGGAATTTCCTGAAGATTTCTGAACTCAAACAGCAAGTGTGAATTTCCTCAAACAAAGTGTGACATGTTCTTGCAGCAGTACATTTGTATATAAATAGATCAGAGATGAAATCTCTCCCCCTGGTTATATGAAGTAATAAAACAGGGCTGATTCAGGGGTTGGTGAATAAACATAACGGCGCCCATGTTCTGCTGTCTGGTTTCCTTTCAGCTCCAGACTAAGTCAACTCTGGCTTTTTAGCATTGATACACTGCTGAGTGTAATGTGAGATTGTTTATTCTTCCTCCTGGTTTTGGGGGAAAGGCCACTCCTGTGAGCTGAAGCTGCTCACTTTGAAATTGAAAGAACGCAGCCATCTTTGTTGTGTTTGAGTGATGTGGATCAGATTGAATCTTATCTGAGTCAGGGGGAAGGTGAGTTGAGAGTCATTCATTTATTCCTCTTCTGTTCCCCTCGCCTGTCGTTTGCTTTTTAGTCCGCTCCGTTACCTTATCTGATGGCGATGATACCAGTGAGGAGCAGATGGAGGAGGGATGACGAGGAGGTGATTTTCAAGATGCTCAGTGGTACAAATTGCTGAAGCCGGTGCGCTCTTTGTGGGAAGTTTGTGCAGATTTGATATTTTTTGTGAAGCATCTATATTCAGCGGGTAATTATTTTGCACTCTGCGGCCAATCATAGTCAGTCTCCTCTGTGCATGTTTGTGGGTAGGTGTGCTTGTTTGTCTCTCGCTGCCTTGCCAAGACATTTGGCTGCACCGTGTCCCACGGAGGGTTGCAGGAAGTGGCAGATCAAGGGCCTCAGCCTGGCAGCACGGCGGAGGACAGGGTATTACAGCTCACTCAGGAGACGTGTGTGTAGGTGTCTGTGGGCGCATACGTGTCGCTTTGTGTGTGCGACAGTGATTCCACTGGGGAGACGGTCGATCGCTCCAACCCTGCAGCCGCTCATTTCTGTAATCCCCCCTCAAAAAAGACTGTGTTTGATCCTCTATCATTGCTACTGCCTCACTGTCCAGCTGGGAAGGTAACAAAGTCCCTTTGGTTTTGTGTGAAGGAGGAGGGTTGGGGGGGGAGTTGTCAGGGAGAGGGAGAGAGGTTTTTTTTTTTGTTTTTTTTTCAGGAGCACCACTGGAGGAGAAGGGAGTCCAGGGGAGTAAGAGGCCGTAGAGAAAAGAGATAGGACTGAGTGAGAGAGACAGGCTTCCCCTCTCTTTAAGATCTAATGGCCAAGAATAGAACTGTTATTGATCTGTGTATGGTAATGAAGACACACACACACACACACACACACACACACACTGCTCTCTCAACAGCAGTGGGACTTTTTTGAGAGTAGAGCGGATTACGGTTGGCTTATAAACTGTTATTTCAAAATAAAATAGAAATAATCTGCGTAAAAAATGTTGAATATGAAAGGCTGCTAGTGTTCAACGGAGACGACAGGCTTGATACTAAAATTATGGTCTAAGAATTTGGCATTTCTAACCTTTAAATATATTAAACGGCCTTGAATGAGAAGTATTTGTTCAGACATTTTTAACTAGTTTCTATTTAAAACTGAGGGTTACTGCTTGAGTTTAAATAAGTACTCCATAAATCAGCATAATATGTTTTTTCTGATAACACAGAATAATCACGTAACCCTTTGATATATTCAGTACTACATATATAATCAAAGCAGTAATTAATTCACTGGACATTAGAACATTAGAGTGTCAACAACAGCCAAGTGTTGTTTTTCCTGGGCAGGCACAGAGGCATTAAAAGCCAATGAGCAACTGTACTTTTACTAATGTGCATGTAGAATCTTTTTTTATCTACGCTATTAGCATATTAGCTCGCTATCACCCAAAGCGCAAAAAAAACGTTCATTGAAAAAAAAGTCATTGTTTTCTGTATACCTAACAAATTTCTAACCTTTAAATATATTAAACGGCCTTGAATGAGAAGTATTTGTTCAGACATTTTTAACTAGTTTCTATTTAAAACTGAGGGTTACTGCTTGAGTTTAAATAAGTACTCCATAAATCAGCATAATATGTTTTTTCTGATAACACAGAATAATCACGTAACCCTTTGATATATTCAGTACTACATATATAATCAAAGCAGTAATTAATTCACTGGACATTAGAACATTAGAGTGTCAACAACAGCCAAGTGTTGTTTTTCCTGGGCAGGCACAGAGGCATTAAAAGCCAATGAGCAACTGTACTTTTACTAATGTGCATGTAGAATCTGTTTTTATCTATGCTATTAGCATATTAGCTCGCTATCCCCCAAAGCGCAAAAAAAAACACGTTAGTCATTGTTTTCTGTATACCTAACAAATTATAAACTGAGGGAAGAGCTCCCTCTGCTGGCTCTGTGCGTATTTTGGACCGATTTAAATCTCTGTCAGAAATGACTGTCCATAGTTAATAAGTAACAGCATTTTTCAAACGTGTTAATCACCTGGGGTACAGTGGCTTTGTTTGTGAATTCCCAGAGAGTCGGCCTCGCACTATGGTGGTGGCCACAGCAAATGGCAGTGCTATAACTCAGACACTTCCTGAGAGCGGGCGCCACGCAGATCAATAGATCAAATTGTCACTCCGTGCTCTGCCAGATTATCTCATCGGCAGGAGCAGGACATCGTGGGACTCGTACGTTCCAGTGGAAGTCAAACGTCGGATGATAGATGAAATATACAAATGTTAAAAAGACACTCACACGCATATATTACAGCGAACGCGCAGTGACATAGATAAAGTGGGAAACACTACATTTGCAACTGCACGGTTATAGAAACAACATCGACCACACACACGAGCACAGGCTACGGAGGGGAGTACAGAACTGCAGAACCTCCACGTGGAGTAACTGGCTTTGATTTAGCTCTTTGCTGGGACTACTGTCATGAAGTCGTGATTTAGTTTCCCCCTCTTAGTGTAGCTTCTTTATTGTCCGTGTTTTTGTTTTTTTTTAAATTCATTTGCTCCAGTAATCTGTTGAGAAGAACAAGCAGAAACATCTCGACACAGTTGTCCTTTGAGCATTGAGCCACACGGGGTCTGTGTGTTTCCGAGTGCAGTTTTGAGTTTGCTGAGTGTTCTGGATGGCAGCTCAGACCTGGGGTTGTGCAACGTGCAGGCGATTAATGCAGCAAAGACGACGGCAGAGACGGCAGGAGACACAACACAGGAGTCAAGCTGCTTGTGCTGCTGCGGCTGCTGTGCTCTGTACTGAATGTTGGTGTCATTAATGTTCAGTGCTGATCAATATATACGGGTAATTGTCTGGTTTTATTGTACGACCTACACCGCGTCGCCGGCGCTCCTTGGAAACATCTAGATATAATTGTTGTTCAGACTTTGTTGTGTTTTGCAAGGAATGTACATTTTTGGTGTATACTCACAGTACACATCTGCTAACAATGCATGATAATGGTTAGCACGTTAGCTCGCAGCATAGCCGGTAGAGGAAAAAGAGGAGATATTTGTGAATTCAGTGAACACACTGCACAACAAGATAACAGAGAACCACACTGCAGTACGGTGTATGTGAGATACAGAACAACAATGGCTGAGAGGTCACCAAACTGTGCACTAATTATTCCCAACAGACAGAGGGCAACGCTTGAGCAGGTCATTGTAAATACACAGTGTCGTGGCGTCTGGAGAGAATAAATGGGTTAGGGTTTTGCACGTAGAGGGCGGAGCTGCTGCAGTGGCTCTCAGCCGGTGATTGAAAAAAAAAATGACATACTGCAGTATAGGATGCTGCTGGAGGAGCTTATCATAATGTTTTGACAGGCTGATCAGATGGTAAACAAGTTAGCTTGAAGATAGCATTACAAGTATTTGTATCTAGGACCTACACCTACCACCTGGTATTGTCTGCACAATTCGTTTGGATCCAGTAGAAACTGCTGACCATTTTTGGCCCCCACAGTTGAGAGCTAAATATAGCCCTCATATGGACACGCTGGACAGCACTGCTTTAAGACCTGATGCTGGAAAGTACGGCGGTAAAAACTGGTGATTTCTGCTGAAGGGGCTCTTAGCCAAACTCTAACTGAACGTCACATGAGGCTCA